AGAAAAATAAAATGAAAATAGAGTCCAAATGATAAATAATTAAAAAGAAAATAATGTTTTTAATTATAGGAGACTACATCAAAAATGCTCCTTTATATAAACTTAACTGCGTTTTAAAATCTGTTAATCTTTTCGACGCTTTTCCAATTTTTAAATATCAAGTTTATTCATACTCTTGATCAGAAATCATCTGTTCAATATTGGTTATCACATAATTTATCTGCATGCTTACTCCGAACACATGTCCAGCATTCTGAAATGTATTGATCAACAAGCAACCTAATTAGATAGCTTAAAAGTCATCCTTTTCATAACCAAACAAAAATCACATTACAAGACTCATATTGCATGAATATCATTTGAGATTATTCAAAGTTGTTCTGAATATGCCTAAATATCTTTAGGAGATTAAGTTAATTTTTTATACGAATATTTTATTTATATTTCAAATATTTAGATTTAATCTGTTCTGATTATTTTAGGATTTACTTCCTTATTTTAGAAAAGGATAATATCAATATTTGATTTTGTATAACAAATTTTCTCTATAAATAGAGACTCATGAATAAAATTATATCATGCTCCTCTGATAAAAAATAAGTCTTATAAAATGTCCTCTCAAACAAATAACATAAAATAATCTCATCATTGGTATCTAGAGCTAAGGTTACGATCTTGGAGATGGAAGCAAAAACAAACTTTTCATAAATTTCTCCACCTATTTTTGATGGAGAAAGTAATGATCTATGGAGGGTGTATATTCAACCAATAACCCTTATAAAAAAATGATACTGATAATATGATATATAAAGACAGATTCCGCTGCATGAAAGGTTAGGTCCCTTGTTTGAGGGGAGGATTGTTGGGATACAAACAAGTTCTACATTGATAAAAATAAGACAAAAAATAACAACTTATATAATACAAACATACTTCAATGATTGAGAGGCCTTTTAGGTAATGATCAAAAGCAAAATCGTGAGAACTAAGGCTCAAAGCGGACAATATCTCATCATTGTGGAGTATGTTTGTGTAATAACCTTATAAAAAAAACAACCTTCATAAAATATCCCCTCAGACAAACACCATAAAATAACCCATCAGTGGTATCAGAACCGCGGGTTAGATTCGGTGACAACCAATAACCCCATAACCCCTCATAACTCATAACATATAATGTAATATATAAAGACAGATTCCGCTGCATGAAATGTTAGGTCCCCTTGTGTGAGGGGAGGATTGTTGGGATACAAATAAGTCCTACATCAATAAAATAAAACAAGTAATAACAACTTATATAACATAAACATACTTCAATGATTGAGAGACCTTTTGGGTAATAACCAAAAGTAAAACCGTGAGGACTAAGGCCCAAAGCGGACAATATCTCATCATTGTGGAGTATGCTTGTGTAATAACCTTATAAAAATAACTTCATAAAATATCTCCTCAGACAAATACCATAAAATAACCCTATCAAAAGTTGTTGAGTTTAGAAACTCAACTTTCTGAACATACTAATTATTCTGTGGACAACTTGTTAGGTACTAAGTACATTTCTTGACTTGAGAAAAGGCTAAGAAAGTTATCAAGGTTTAACATTTAGAAGTTTTTCTTTCAAGGGCCATAATTAAACCTTATTTCTTGTGACTCAACTCCTCATTTTAGCAATGAATTGAACACTCCCCAAAGGATACTTCTTAGAAGTAGTGAGAGGAATCGAAGGGTACTTACCTGCTTAACAACAGCTTCATCTATCAGTAGGCAGAACGCTTGCTTATCGTGCCGTCGGATATTGATGATGGGCATTTCATGCTCCTTATCCAAGGCGAACATCGATGATAGTGTGGCAAGGGCGTCAGCGAACTGATTTTCCTCCCTTGGGATATATTCAAAGACGACATTTTGAAAGAATTGTATCAGGTCTTTGATATGCTCAACATATGGTATCAGCTTAGGATTTCGGACTTCCCATTCACCTCGCAGTTGGTG